TACTCCAGAATATACGTAGAAGTACTGGAAAACAACCTAATTCCATCAATTGACCTGCTTATGCTCAATGATAAACCATGGAAACTTCAACAAGATAGCGCTACTGCACATACTGCATACTATACAAAGGAGTGGTTCAACAATAATAATATTATGACAATACCGTGGCCTCTATATTCACCTGATTTGAACCCGATTGAAAACATTTGGGCTTGGATTGATCATGAATTAGCAAAGGTTCAAATTTCCACACTTGGTCAGCTGAAGGAATTCCTTAAGGAGACCTGGTATGGGGTCCCAGAAGCGATGTGCAAAAATCTTGTTGAGTCTATGCCTAGAAGAGTTCTTAGTTGTATTAAAGCAAAAGGCGGATACACAAAATATTGATTGGTTCATAAATTACGCCTTCTAATGTATCGTGCGTCTAAATTTATGAATAATTTTTTTTGTCTAATTTTTTTAATACCATGTACTTGTACCTAATTATTACTTAGTATTTCATTTTTTTTGTAAACTTTTTTTAAATTTTGTATTCTGTATGTATTTATCTGATAAATAGAAAAAAAACTAAACCGAAATCTTTTTTCGTCATTGTTTTATCGTTAAAAAACTAAAAATTTCTATTTTCAAATATGAGTGCGTCTAAATTTATGAAAACCACTGTATATATATATATATATATATAGATAATGTTAACTTAACTTTAAAACAAGACAATGAAGTTAAGATGTTGGTTGAAAGGCTGCTAAAGGAAAAGTAAGGTGTCTATGCTTTCCTTGTAACACGGTTTTTAGAAAAGAAGTCAAGATATAACACAATGTCAATAAAAAACACAGCTATGGCTAGTATAAGGTAATTATATTGACTATTGTTTTGTTGAGCAGCAACATGAGTTAATAGAAATAAATATAAACCATTCTTATTTTATAGGTTTGGGATTTCACCTGCCGCAACTGCAGCAATTGCTACAAGTTATCTTCAAGATTTAATTGAAGCAGGATTTCTCACCCCTGAGTCCTCTTACCTTGCTTGTGACCCTTCTAAGTTGACGAGAGAGAAAAAAAAGGTGATGGTAGTTGCGAAGAAAAATGATAATTTAAAACTTCCGAAAGCAGATATATTGCCATTTTCTTTGACGGAAGGAAAGATTCAACAAGAGCAATGATAAATGATTCAAATGGACAGCTACATCCTATTATTATCAAAGAGCAGCACATTACTGTGACTATAGAACCTGGTTGGTGATATCTTGGTCATTTTACCCCAAATGCACCTAATCATCTAGATGAGCCAGCTAAAAAGATTGCTGAAGGTGTTTATAATTTGCTGCAACAACATAATTTTACTGAATTATGTTTAGTACTTGGAGCTGACAGTACTTCAATTAACACAGGCTGGAAAGGTGGTGCTATAACGCATCTTGAAAAGCTGTTAGGTCACAAGTGCCACTGGGCCATATGCATGCTTCATTCAAATGAATTATTTTCTTCAAGTTCTTCAAACACAACTAAAGCTTTATTAGGTTCAGCGAAAGTGGAATTATGCAGAATATTTTTTACAATTCCTAACTTACTTTCAATTTTAAAGCAATTATCTCCAATGGATGTAGAAACAAAATAATCAGTTTCATATCTTTTTTATTAAAAGTGTCTTCATTGATGTTGCAGTGCCCTTCGATAATTCAACGTACCACTTGGCCAGTTGGATTCTGAGGTTTGCGAACTAATTTTTTCAATCTTCCAAGGTAACTTTCATATCTAAATACTGATACGTTATCAAGAAAACCATAATGTTTAGCATCAATTGGTAAATGTATTAAAGAATGAATATTTTAAACAAGATGATTTCTACCATACAACTTTGAAAATGTGACCACAAAGTATTTTAATAGTTGTTCAGCATAGTCAAGATTTTTTGACAACAAATTTGGGCTAAGCAATATTTGTATGGCTAGAGACAAATCAAGGAAATTAGAATAAACTGTGTCTTTTAGAAAATTTTTCAAGACAACAGGCTCAGTGTACCATAAAAATTGTCTCAATTCAGTCGCTTTCCATTTTTTATATTCTGAAAGAGATTTTGGTTTTTGTGAAAACTCTCTGGGAATGTGTTTACGAATTACAGCTAAGTTGTCAGATATCATGGATAACTGTAACTGAGATTACAATCTCCACGTGGCCCATGAATCCATTGAAACAAAATCCTATGCATAACACCTAAACACACAATGTGCATATAATCTAATGGAAATTCTGTAACCATACCACAACCCAACTCCTCCAATGGTGAAGTACCTACATGAATTTACATGAGCGTCAGAATAATGACGCTCAGTAAAGATCAAATCAGTAAGTAGTGTTACCGCTATATTGGGAAGTATGGTTTTGTTACACCATTTGCCAAGTTGCATACATCTCTCACATGAATTATAAGCAGAGTGAGGCTTAATACATTTAATAAAAGCCCTTGCTGGTGTATCACAAATTATAGCATCAATTTTCACTATGTAAGTTTTATTATTAAATAAAAAGCCATAATGCTTTAAGCTCTTCATTTCTGAAACAAGGTTATTCAGATATTCATTAAGAGAAGTAGTTTTTTTAGTGTTACTATATATAGCAATAGGAAAAGTTCAACCTGATGGGCACTCTTTTAGTGAACCAAGAATTGGCCAAAAAGAAATAAAATTGCTGTTAAAAAGTGGTATACCGTCAATATTAATATGAATATGTAAAAAATCAATTTGAGAAATAGGCAGATTGAATTTTAAAATGTTTTGTATCCAATACTGCACCCAAAATAATAATATTCTCCACCTGCAACATGCTTGATATCAATATTTCGACGAGTATTTAAAAGGGTTCTTGAATCAGTAGGCAGATCAGTGTGTAACGGAGTCAATATGTGTAAAAAACCTCCTAAAGCTGAGTGAGATATACGATATGTTATTGCCTAATCTCGAATTTTATTTACTATTGTACAGTCATCATTTTCCCTATTATTGTCATTATTGTCACTTTGGGTGCTGTTAACTTCATCAGCTTCTAAATCATATCTACTATAATCAAAATCAACACTAGACTTTCAATATTATCAGAGAACATTTCTGAAAACTCTCTTTGAGATAATAGTAAAAAAGTTCATTTGCATTTTTGTATTCGTTTGCATTATGATCAACACTTTTTTTACATTTACTAAAGCTTAAGTCATCCACAGTCTTCGAAATAATAACAGGATTATCTAGCATGGAAATACTTTCAAACTTATCTTTCTGAAATAACTCAGTAAGTACGTTTGAAGCTCTTGATCTAATTCTTCTTTTTGTTCTATCTGAACACGTCTTGAAATTAACGTTCTCATTAAATGCTGCCATTATAATTTTTAAATTTATTTAATGCTTTCTGATAACAGCTATTGCTTAAATATTAAATATGTTAAGATAATATAAATATAAGTTTTGATAAAATATTATGGTTATCTGATGGAACTTGGTTATCTGACAAAACATGCAATAGATTACCTGATGAAATACAAATGTTTGTGTAGTACAAAATAACGAATAATATATGATTCATATGTTAATCATTATTCTGTTTATTACCAAGTTCCATCAGATTAAACTATTAAATAATGATCTTACTATAATTACATTATAGTAAGTATAATATAATTACATTATAGTAAGTACATATATGTACTTACATAATCTATAGATTATGCAAAATAGTTTATATAAACCTTTCAAATAAAACATATAAACGTTCATATAAAATATATAAACATTTCTTATAAATAAATACATAGTCCATGTATATCTATGTCATAGATAAATCCATAAATTAAATTCCCAAATTTCAATTTGCTGATATAAATAAATTTTGATATATTTGTAATTTTGGAAAGCGTGCATTTAATTTGTTTCACGATGGTTCGGGATATCAACACGGGACCCACACTAAAACCAACACAAAAACCTCGCTGAACCCAGGCTGGGTTACCCAGACTAGCCCAGATAAATATGACGCGGGGCCCGAGCATCATGGTTTGCTTGGTAGGTCTTGGGGCACCTAAATAAAAAAACAAAAAAACAAAACAAAACAAAAAAAGGTTTGAGTCAGCTGACCATTTTATTATGTTTTTAATCACCTTTCTCTTTGCTCTCTATCTTTTTTCATTTTCTTAGGACTGCGCTCTTTTCAATTTCTGATGAACTAATCAAGTCCTTTCCATTTATGTATCAGCTAATACAGTTGTTATTGCTAATTTTAAACTTTATCACCCTGAATTATTGTTTTTAGATACATTAATCCTGCTTCTAGTAATGTTAACATAGTTAAGATAGCAATGAATGAAAAAAAAGTAAATGCATTTGAAGCAAGTTTGGTTTAACAGCTGTTCGGACTTGTATATGAAACCTTTTTTTTTTGATATTTTTTATTTAAATTTTTCTATGTGTTCTTTTTACATTAAATTTTCACCTGAAAATATACCCTCAAATGACAAAGAATGCTCTCTTGACAAAAAGTTTATTTGGAAAAAGTTTCAGGGGATTGTTCTTTTTTTCATAATGATAATGGAAGAAAGTATATATATTTTTTTCTAATATTTACGGACAATCTCTTCACTTAGTTTTGCAAGGTATTTCTTTACTGTTGCAAATAACTCACTGATGTCTTGAATATAATAAAATGCATTAGTATTGTTGGCAAACAAAATTGAGTTTAAAATATTTGGGAATTTACTCAAGTTATTTACATAAATGAAAAACAAAAGTGGTCTTATGTAATTGTCATTAATTTTTTTTTTTTTTTTTGCCATAATATAAAATGCATTTATATGATGGTGAAATGCTTTCTATTTGTTTAATAATAACTAATAAACCAAGTATTCACAATTTTTGTTAAATTCAATTAAGTTAAAAATTCACTATTTATCAATAATATAAATATATAAATATATCTTAATTTTTTAATTTTACTTTTTTATAATTCTTGTTTTAGTTTCAATTTCAACTTTATATCCTAATAACTGTAAGTTTGTTATACTTACTTTAAATGCTGTTATTCTGTGACAATCTAGAAGTTAATTGTATTTATCATTTTATTTTTCTTTAATAATTTTATAGAAACTTTAAAGTTTTAAAATTTTTATTACTTTAGACAAAGTATCCGTAATCTCTGTAGCCATATTAGTTCCTGTTTTAACTGTTCTTATTGCAGTTATTTTTGTTATTGCTGGATTGAGGTTTCGCAGAAAAAAATGCCAAAAATCATTGAACCTAAATCCTTACACTATTAAGTAAGTAAACATTGTAATATTTATACACACACAAACACACACACACACACACACACACACATTTTATTGGCCAAATTTCGCAAGTATTTAACTAAGTCTGGCATATTATTAATGAGAAGCCAAAATAGCGGAGATACTATGAAAAATCCTTGATGAACAAAATCCAAGACATCCATCTATTCTGAGAAGAAGTTGCCAAAAATAACAACAACAAAAAAAAAAAAAACACGATTTTTTACAGTCAAGAAAGATCTTGACCACATTAAGAATTTTACTACATAAACTATAGCCAGCCAACTTGAGATGAATCAAAATATGTGACTCACAATAAAAAGCTTAAGCAAGTCTACCAAAATAAGCAAAGTGGCACAATCATTGCCTAAAGCTTCAGTAATAATATCTAACACTTCGAGATTAGTAATACACAATCTAGATCTGACAAAACCATGTTGTTGCCAAGATAACAAATTATGTTTTAGTAGGTATTCAGTCATGACATCATGCATAGTTTGCATTACTCATTTCATTACTTTTTTAACTGCTGAGGTAACAGAAATAGGTCTGTAATTTCAAGGATCAGTATGATGATCTTTTTTGAATATCAGTGTTATATTAGCAAGTTTCCACCCAGATTGTAGTTGGCCAGAATAAAGGGCTTAATAAATATTAGAGAAAGAGGCACATTAAACTCATTAGAATAAGTTCAAGCACTCAAGGATGAATTCCATCATTTCTGGGGGCTTTTAAAAATCAATTTAAATATCAAGTGCAGATAATTTGAAGAAATAGTTAAAAACTGGAAAGCAAACTGCTTTGGTTCTAGGAAATAGGAGATTGAGAGTGAGTTGTATGTGGTAAAAATTCAATTTTAAATTTTTACCAACTTAACTTTAATTAATTAAAAAAGTTTTAGACAGTTTGCAATTTATCAAAAAATTGTGTTCCATTGTAGACAAAGAGAGATCAAATGTCACCTTTACAAGACATTTAGCTGTTCACATAAGAGTTTTTTCTGACAAGATTTGGAAGCAAAGATGATTTGACTATCAAACTTAAATACTGTGTCAGCCACAATTTTTTTGACTGGACAATGTTTTGTAAGACTTGAATACTGTCTTGAATTTTAGTAAAAGCTAGCCTAACTTCATTAATAGTCTAAATTTTTATGTAGTCACAGCTTTTATAGAAAATTAAAACCAATATTGATCACACCTCTTTAAACTAAAGGATACTTTGACCATAGGAATGCGCTGTTTGATCAAAAAAATGTATGCGTTTTTGAATAATTCAAAGCTTTTGACTGCTGATTTTTTCTGAAATTAGTTTGGCTAGCAAAATTTGTTTAGGCCCTTATTTATTGTATTATAGCCACCTTTATTATTGATATTATTTACTTTGTGTAGTCTGGAAATTATATTCTATGATTTAAGTCTGTAATCCTATAGGAGTGAATTGAGTACATTCAAGTGGAAGACCAACTGTAACATTATAAATACAATCAGGGTCATTTGATAGCCCTAGGTCAAATGTGTTAATAATAAAAGTTGGTTTGGTGACAAACTATGATAGGAAACAAGCATTGATAGTATACTAAAATATACACTACAATATAGTATACAAACATATACATAAACTATACATTGATAGTATTCTAAAAAAAGTTGACTAGACTGTTACATTTGCCACCCTAATCACTTTACCTGATATTGCTATTGATTAAATCACTGGTAATTAAAATCACCAACAATTAGAACACCTGTTTATTTCTCACCATCAACTAGAGTTTTAGCGTATTTGATTGACTTTGTCTATTAGACTCATTTTGAGTTAACAGATGGCAATAAAATATTACCATTCAGCAAGATATCATTTCTATATGAAATTTGACACCATATTTTCTTACCTATTTTTTTATCAATGAACTCTCATTCAAATAAAAGTTTATCTTTTTTAACGTAAATGGCCACTCTACCAACACGAATTGTCCTATTTCAAAGGTATACAGTGTAATTGTCTAGATCTGTTAAAAATGTAGTAGTGAACCATGGTTCTGTGATTTCAATTATGTTTAGGTAAACCAGTGATGCAATTCTAGCATGGAATTTATCCCACTTATTTTCTAACGACATTGGAATAAAATAAAATTTCAGTTCAGATAAAGAAAAAGTAGACATTAAAAAAAACATTAAACAAAAAGACATTAGAGTAAAAGGAATACAAACATTTGTGTTTAGTATTTTATTCTTTTCATACAATCTATCCAACAATTAAGCCAGACCAGAAACTTTTTTTTCCATATCTATAACATCAATTAAGTTTCAATTAAAATTGATATTTTCCATAGTCCTAAATTTTAATTAGAAGCAGAAGGAGTAGGAAGTGATGTCTTTTTCTTTTTCCGCATTTTTCTAACTTCTACATCATCACTTGTAGAAACTTTTGAGATGGTCAAAACTTAACAATCACTATTTTATTATCCCCAAAATTAAATGACTCAATAAGACCGCTTGTGATTATATTATTCAATATTTTACTCTTTTTGTTGTTTTCTTTTGCAACTTTAACAAATATTTTTCTTTGGCAGTAATCTACTTCTCTTTGTTAACAAAACCTGCATAAAAATCAGCGCTTCAGGTATTAGTTTGGTAAGTATGTATATATATATATATATATATATATATATATATATATATATATATATATATATATATATATATATATATATATATATATATATATATATATATATATATATATATATATATATATATATATATGTATATGTATGTATATATATATATGGAATAACCTATCCAACGTTTAAAGATGCATGGGCAGCTGGATATCTGAATAATAACAATGAATATCACCATACTTTATGAAAAGCATCTTTCCTTAACTGGTAATTTGTTCGCGCAACGTGCTATTTAGCTGATAGTGGATTTCAATTTGATTGTTCTGGCTTAATTTCAATGTTTAAGTATTTCATTCAAGAAACAGAAATAATCTTTTCAAAGACAACTGCCCTGGTGAAGACTGGAGAGATGTGAATATCTGCAGATTGTTTAAGAATGAGTTACAGCTGTTTTTTGAAACTTACTTTTTTACATGCTTTACAAGCTATGTATTTTCAATATTTCGATCAATCAAAAATTTAAAAATTGTTTTTTTTTTCTGTACATTCTTTAAAACAATGTTCATAAAAAATCTTTTAAATCATCCTTTATAAACATTCTCTTTTTTTTTTAATTTATTAGATAGGAAATTTAAGCTCTTTCAATTTTGATGAATCACTTTTGTTGAATTTTTTGTCAGGTATGTGTGAGGAGGATGCAACGCATTTAAAATAGGACACTCTTCACTTAATTTGCAAGTAAAAGCTAAAACTATTGTTGGGTTCATCTAAATAGTTTTTTTATTGTGGTTTTTTAATTTTATATATATATATATATATATATATATATATATATATATATATATATATATATATATATATATATATATATATATATATATATATATATATATATATATATATATATATATATATATATATTCATTTATATATATGTATATACATATATATATATATATATATATATATATATATATATATATATATATATATATATATATATATATATATATATATATATATATATATATATATATATATATATATGTATATATATATATATATATATATATATATATATATACATATATATATGTATATATATATATATTCGTATTTACACACACTTTAGTGCTTGTGATGTGCTTTTGCCAGGTTTTTTTCGTGTATGTATGAAGGCTTTACATCTCCCTATAATTAGTAGAGCATGTGAAAAGTGCTGCTACATGATTTTTTTTATTTTTCAGTCAACACATTGGTTGTGGTGAATTATTAACAGATGAATGGGAGATATTCCCAGAAGATATTATTAAAGATAAAAAAATTGGAGAAGGAGCATTTGGTACTGTTTTTGCTGCAAAACTTAGTTTGTCTGTTCTTTCAAAAAGAAAGAACATGAAACAAAATCCAGTGTTTAATGATATCTTACAAAACACTTCCGATGTTGCTGTGAAACTTGTAAAAGGTAAGAAATTTTAAAAATAAATAATTTATTGCTTTTTTCTTTTTTTTTTAAATTCTTTGTTAATGCTTTTATGTATACATATATATACTAGAAAGTTCATGGGCACCCTAAGAAATAATGCTAAAACAGGTGCCACAGGCGTCTATTTTTAGCAACACTTGTAAATGATAAATGTTTTGAGAAATGCATTGAAACTGGTGAGGGCAAATATATCTTATACATATTATGCATACCTAATGAGTGTTATCAATAAAGACTTATTTATTAAAGTATATTTATCAATAAAGAGTGAACAGAATTAAAATCAAAAAATTAAAAGACTTGAAACAAATGTTAAAAATAAAAATTTTCAAGTTAAAAAATTTCATTAAGGATTTTTTTTTATAATTGATATTACTTTTGAGTCACTAATAAAAATGGTGGGGGATGTTTATGAATTTGTAAAAAATTTTGCCACCAACCCCAAGCTTATTAAAACCCACACCTCTCACCCCACCTTCCTCTGTTTAATAATTTTTAATTGTTGTCAACAAAATCTTTACATCTCAAAACTAAAAAAAACAGTGAAAATCAGCTATAAAAATTAGCTAATAATTCTTTCAATCATCATTAAAAACAAAAACTTTTGGTGTAAACAGACTTAAACATTCTGACCTTGAAAATCTTGATTCAGCATATTAAATTCTATTGAAACTATGCTAAAACAGCTGTTCAAAAATGTGCATTCGACTGCTAGAATTATATAGTTTTAGGCATATTTTGTAAATAATGTTAGTTCAAATTTATAAATGAACTTTTTTTATAAAAAATACTTATATTGTCTCAAAATAAAATTCCTACTTCTCCTTTTATTGAAAATTCCCTTGTTTATTAGGTCTAGACTAAAATTCCCTCCCCCCTCCTTATATTACCCCCCTTAACAACAAGCATTAGCGAAATTGTTTTTCTTTAAAAGCAAGACATGTTATTTATTAACTAAATTACTTAACTATTTAATAACCGTTGTGTCTTTTATTGTAATAATATTTATTATCATTAATATATTAGCATTAGTTAATAAAACAATATTCTAAAATTAAAACAAAAATAAACTATGATAGGTATTAAATCCAGAGCACTGGCACCTCAATCAAATTTATTAACCACTACACCATACAGTATTGTAATACAATAAGTTAAGTACAGTAATGAAAATTGAAAAAATCATCTTTTTTTTATATCAATAAAATCTTAGTAGATTTTTAATTTTTTCTTTGCAAAAAAACTTTGATATTTACATCTAATCTTTGTTTAAAATGATTCAGTATCAATAGTTATCTAAAGCAACGTTTTGATTTTTTTTTGTTGCTACACATTTTTTCATTAAAATTATACCACAATATGCATAAAAATCACCTTTATACTAACTGTATAAATCAAAGTATTGCTATTCATCTACTGTTTCTTTTTTATTGACTTGATTTATGCGCGTTCAAGTCTAGGTATTGGACTAATAGAAACTGTTTATTTATTTATCTACTACTATGGCTATAAAGATCTCTAATACAAAACAAAATGATCTAGGTAATTATGTTTGACCCTAATGTTGTAACATTTAGTGAATTGGGTACAGGATTGCCATCAGTTTCGTATGCGCACCAAAAGGTTCATGGTACAAGTTCCAATCTAAAAAATTGGCTGGAAAATTCATATATAATTGAACTATTTATTCTAGCATTCTTAATCCTTAATCTTATTTTTAATTTTTAATTTTTTATTGTGTACACTATTAAACCAAAACTTTTAGTTTTGGTTTAATAATGTACACAATAGTCATTTCCTCTGATAACTGAAAAAACCTGAAAAATGTTTACATGGAAAAAAATAGTTTCAATGAATTGCTAAATCAAATTATATAATATATCTAAACTGTTTCATATAAAATTTTATGTGGTGTTTATAATGTTGAAAGAATTTCTCTGAGTATTGATGTAAGATCAGCAATTCTAAAATTTATGATAGACAACAATTTTTAAATAACTTTTTTAATGACTTTGGAATGACATTCAGTAATAATGAGCAAAATTGTAGGATATCTATGGTTTTTATGGATACCAAACAAGTCTTTAAAATTTTATATTGATCAGAAAATAGTGATCAATATAAAATATTAGTTAATGTAATGTAAAAAAGTGAATAGTTGTAAACATAGTTTGTTTCCTTGTTTTTACTTGTTTTTTTCTCAAAGCCGTGTGTTTTGGGCAGGCGACAGAGATATTTTCAAATCTAATTATCAAATTAATTTGAAATTTGGCCCATTTATTTATTGTTTTAGTATTAAAAACATACACAAGAAAAATCTTTACTCCTTCTTTTGTTTAGAAGTTTTTAAAAATTTTGTTCCCTTAAATTACCCAATTTTAGCCTTAGTTTACAGAAATGCTAATTTTTTATCCAGTTTTGAACCTAACTTAAATCTTTTAGCCCATGATAAAATGATAAATATAATATATCACAGGCAAAATTTCAGTCATAAGTTATTAACGATTGCTAAAAAATCTTTTTTACCCTTTGCCATATTATTTACATTTAATGATTAAGAAATAATATATTTTAAAAATTTTCAATATTTTAAAATCTTTTTTATTTTTCTTATAGAATATTATATAATTTGAGAAAAAAAAACAATATGTAAAATTTAAATAAATATTTTTTTTCTAGTTACTGTACAATCACCTTAATAAAATTTAAATAAAATGGATTTATTTTGAAGCATGATATTTTTTTAATTAACGCACTTTAAAATAAAATAACTTCCACATGAATACTACATAAGCCTTTAATCAGTGTTATACTGTCAGGGCATTAGTGACCTGGGTATATATATTTAGTGATAGGATTTTACATATAGGGTATATATATATATATATATTTAGTTTTAGGATGTTTTTATTTATAGTTTTGTCCCAACTTTTCAATGAAAATAAATAAAAGTTTACTAATTGCTCCTTTAATGTGACATTATTTAAACTCAAAAAAATAATTACTTCTTTCTTTAAAAACATTCATGTAAAATGTGAAAAAATTTATATATATATATTGCTTGGAAAATATGCTTATAGGTGTTCTTATTAACTTAGGTGACACTATGCCTCATTATTTTCAGCAGTAATATAATCCAATAAATTACTAATGTGCTGTGATTAAAAAGATAGAAAAATACTAACTCTTTTTTAAATTTTTTCCATTGTTTATAAACTCTTTCACAATTATGTTTTAATTGAATTTTAATTTTTTGATTTTTAATCTTTAAAATTTATTGTTTTTTTGAGCTATACTATGTAGTCACAGAAATATATTTGGTAGGTATTGTAGGTATTGGTAAAAATTTTCTATGAAAACGTTAAACCTGCAAAAAAAAAATTAAATTTTTTTGTAAACAGTTGCTTGTTACTGTGTATAAATGAAGTTTTTAGTAATTAAAAGTGTTGATCAAAATAGAAAAAAAAATTAATAATTTTCATTTAAAAAATTGGCAGTTATTGTATTTATTATAAATATAGATTCCGCCAATACATCAGAACTCAATGATTTTTTTGAAGAGATAAATTTGATGAAAAAAATTGGATTCCATAAGAATATTGTAAATTTGATTGGCTGTTCAACACTAAAGAAACCATTATGTTTAATTTTTGAGTATATGGAGCATGGAGATTTGCTGAATTTTCTTAGAAAGAGGCGAACCAAAGTAAGTTGTTTTAGTATTTTTAAGATGATGATTTTTACTAGCATTAAAGTGATTTGTAAAAAACAGGACATTGGTTAAGATTATGAAATAACAACAAATTATTAGTTCAATAGTTTGTAGCAAAAAAGAATTGAATTTTTTATTTATATTTATGGTTTCAAAGTTTTATTGAAAAAAACAAAATCAGTTCAATTTTCAAATTAAAAATATTTTTAACACTGTTTTCGAAAAACCTTCAGCACCATGAATAGTTACCAAATTTTAATTTAGATATCATCTAGTTTAATTTTTGACACAATACAGTTTTTCCTAGCTAGTATCATGTGACACAAAATCTAAATAAAAACAAATTTAAATGGAGGTTAAATCTAATGTGGCATAATAAGTATATATTTTTTTAATAAGGCTACTAATTTATATAGCCTAAATGTTAATATCAAACAAACTAAACTTTTGTTTTTATGACCATTTGAATCTTATGGCCATAATTTTCCTGCCATTTCACTGTTACAGATTAACCTGTTGTTAGACAATCAAATCATCTCAGCTTCTGTTAGTAAAGCCAAATCTCAATTAAACTCCTTTATAGCTTGTGGTTCAGTCAAAGTTCTTTTCATAGTCTTACAAAAGTTTTATTTAGAACTCTCTGCAATTATTTCTAAAGTATTCATTAAGCCCTTGACTGAATCTTGTTTTCCTGTCTGCGGGAAAATAGCACTATAGTTACATTATTTAAAACTTGTCGTCTAGTCAGTCTTCTCATTAACTAAGGAGTCTTCTCATTATTAATAAAAAAGAGTCTACTCATTTTTTATAGTAAGAAGTCTTCTCATTATTAATAGCAAGTCTTTGATCAACAAATTTCTGACATCCCATCTTAAGTCAAATAACTTACCGTCAGAAAATCAATATGGTATTTTATTTTCTTGTTCTATACTTGACTTATTTATTGCTGTAACTAAAAGATTCTCCTGTGAAATTAGGTAAAGGTGGCTAAGCGAGGACTATTGATACTGACACATTTAAAGCTTGCAAAAAATTTTAACATTTTAGTCTTCTTTATAAGCTTGTTTCATATTGCGTATCTGGGAAAATTTTTTAAATTATCAAATTATTTCTTTCAGTTTCTTATATATCCCTGGAATACTGTTGAATATTTGGGCTGGCTCTTTTTATGATTCTCTTTCTCTTTTAGAAAAAGTCCAAAAACTAATTGCGATTAAAGTTGGACCTGCTGTTGAATTTAATATTGTTGTAAGAATCATATCAGCCAGTAAAAGGAACAATCTCATCATGTAATATTGTGTCTTTTATTGATTGGTTCTAATATGTGTGTGTTCCAAGCATTATAATTAAATCCTTGGGTTTTTTTATTTATTTTAGGAGTCAGATTTTGAATCATTCTCTTAAACACACCTTGTTGTAATTATTGATTTAGATATATATAGTTTATATTTACCGATTCAGTCTTCTTTATTAAAAGAACAGTAGTTGTCTGTTTCTTTACCTACTTTATCTGCCAAGCCTGAGCTTATTTCACATCATCATAAAGTTGCATTTCTTTTTATTTTGTACAAATACTAGTATAGCCGCTGCTAAAAAGTGCTATCATCTTTTGTTCCAACTACCAAACTCATTCTCTCTCAACTCGCCATTAAGCAAAGTCACATTCTTTTACTGTATCTTTTCCTGCATGCTCTAAAAACTTTTAATTGTCTAGATTTTTTTCCCTGTATTTTAAGACTTTAGAACATTTTGCATATATATATATATATATATATATATATATATATATATATATATATATATATATATATATATATATATATATATATATATATATATATATATATATATATATATATATATATATATATATATATATATATATATATATATATATATATATATAAATATTTATACATATAGTTAGTTAGTTAGTTAGTGGTAAATTTCATGAACTTTATCCACAAGCTGAGACATAGCAATGTTCAGTTACAGCAACGCATTCCTTTTTTTTTTTAACCATAGTTTTTTTGTTATTTGTTAACCGCTCATCCAGGCTCTCTTTGAACTTGTTTATATTCTTGGAGAACGGTAGAGAAATTAAAAAAAAAGTATTTTGAACATGAAAATCATAATAAATAAAACTGATCTTTTGTTGTAACTTTAATAAAATACTTTTGGTTTGCAACTAATTAAATGTGTGTTGCTGAAATTTTATGCAATGAGCATTGTTGAACAAGGTATGCATAACTGCATTTATATTGTCATTTTGCAATAAGCACGTAAATTTTTATTTATGTTTAAAATAAAAGGCATCATATTAAAATATGTATATATATATATATCTATATATATCTCGATCTATATATGTAAATATATATATATATATATATATATATATATATATATATATATATATATATATATATATATATATATATATATGTATATATATGTATATATATATATATATATATATATATATATATATATATATATATATATATATATATATATATATATATATATATATATATATATATATATGTATGTATGTATATATATATATGTATGTATGTATATATATATATATATATATATATATATATATATATATATATATATATATATACATAAATATATATAGTCATATCTTTTGAACAATAAAAAATTTTACTATGAAATTTAAAATTTCTCGATGAATAGAAGTCTAGTTAAAAATAATATATAAATATATATATATATATATATATATATATATATATATATATATATATATATATATATATATATATATATATATATATATATATAATATGTTTATTTAACAAATGTTTTTCTCTCCTATATGTTATTTAATTAACTCTTGTTATTCTATGCTATAGGTTGGTCTTGAATAAAAATAATTTATGAGAGATTATATATTTCAAATGGCTATTGAGATTGAACTTTGAGCTGACTTTAGCAAACAAATTGATTTATTGTAATATTGCATTATGAATGAAATAACATTTCTGATTGAGCAAACAATTGATTTTACTCAATTATTTTCTGTTTTTAAGTCGAAAATAAAGAATGGCAAATGGCAACTTGAACCATAACATTTCTTGTAAAATATCATGACTGGTTACAAGGCACGCTTGATATACCAAATAATGCCTCTTTTCTTGCCGAAGATACACGCGTGTTTGGTCGCCCAATTAAAGATTTTTTTGAGTTGATTGATTGTAGTGAACGTCGTAACACAGCACAACTAAGAAGTAATAATGATGCAGAAACACTGGTTTATGCTGGTCAGATGGCACTTTGTAAGAAAAGAAATGTTGATGGAGCCTATGTGATTAAGGATATGTAATTAAGGATATCATGTTATAGCTATTATAAATATTGGCACCCCTAGGCTATATTTTTGCAATTATTGGCAGAAAAAGCTTTGTTCATGTTCCTTGAAGCATTGTTACCCTGAAAACAATATGAAATCATTGCTGAAAGTTCTAAAAAAATTTATCTTTGTTACTCTATCATTAAAAAAGCAAAACAACAATGCTATCCAGACATTAATTGTCACAGAAACTTGTGCAGAAATTAAGTTACAAGGTTTATTAGACCATACATCTTAAAAAGGTGATTGCAACATTGAAAACGGAAGATTTAGCAACTTTGAAACTTATTTATAAATGGGGATTTGATGGTTCACAACAATCTAAATTTAAACAAAAATTTATTAACAATAGTGACTCCAATGCAAACATTTTTAAATCATCGGTAGTACCCCTGCAGCTAATTTGCCTGAGTAGCAATAAGATAATTTGGAATACGTCATTACCCTCATCTCCATGTTTTTGCCAACCTCTACGGATCCGGTTTTATCATAAAACCACAGATATTACCAATAAGGAAATAAATTACCGAAATGAGCGAATAAAGAACTTGACAGTAACTAAAATAACGGTCGGGTTTCATGAAATAACAGTCTGTCATAAGTTGTTGTTAACCAATGGTAGATGGCAAAGAGTGTAATGTAGCAACAAATACGTCATCCACCATGCGTTGCTTTTTATGCAAAGCCACTTCTATAGATGTCAACAACCTTACAATTATATCGAAACTCTCAATAGATTCCAAAAACATAATGTTTGTTATCACTTTTACATGCCAGAATCCGATTTTTCAAAACCTTATTGCACATTTCTTAAAGATGTCCTTAGATAAATGACAAGGAAAAACACCACTGAAAAAAATATTGTTAAAGAACAAAAAGCAAAAATTCAAGAACAATTTAAAATGAACTTGGATTGATTGTCAATGTACCCAAACCATATTATGGGAACGTGAATGATAGGAACACCAGTATAAGATTTTTCAGTAATCCAGAAACATCAGCAAATATCACTGGAATAGAAAAAAATCTGATAGGTTTGCTCTAATATTGGAAGTCATATCAAGTGAGAACAAAATTGACATAAATAAATTTCGTATTTATTGTTTAGATGCAAATATTTACATTGAGCTGTATCCGTTGTTCCCTATGTCAAACACTGTACATAAAAAAATCCTACCTATATGAGCTTTGTCGGAAGAAGCAGCAGAGGCCAGAAATAAATATTTCCAACAATATAGGGAACATTACAGCAGAAAATTTAGCAGAGTTGCCTGTAATATGGATGTCATTAACAGACTTTTGCTCACATAAGATCCATATCTAAGTAGTATTTATTTATTTATTAGTAATTAGGCCCAAAGCCTCTAAAAAAAAGCAAACTTTTTAAACCTAAACTATGGAAATGTTATTGCCTAATGAAGAAATTACTATGGAAAAAAAATGACGATTACAATGTTGACGAATCAAATGAAGATGAATGGATTGCATCATCAGATTAAATTTTAGCATTTAAGTTTATTTGAAATACTTTTGTAGAATTGAAAATAAATAAATGAAATAAAAAAAGCTTCTTTTTTTGTACATTTCATTGATTATCATTAACCCTAATTGCATAATTAACCGCATTATGAGTATGCTTTCGACTTTGAAATGATTTCAAAGTCGGAAAAATTTATTATATATATGAAAATTTAAGGTGATGGTTGTTTCAAAACAAAGCATTTAAAATCACAATACATGTTAATAATATTTTCGCGTTCAAAATACTTTTTTTTAATTTCTCCACCATTTTCCAAGCTGATTTTTTCAACATTCAATGGCCTGATTCATATTCTTAATACACTTAAAAAAACCAGCTGCCATAAAGTGCTATAAATTTACTTTTATGGAGTGTACACAAGGGTCGTACTTATAAAACAATTTTTTTTTTTGCTGTAACTTAATTTAACTGCTTTAAAGGATTTTATTTTAATTAATTTTTTTTTTTTTAGTATTTCACTTTATTGAACTATATATATTTTTATATTTATAAATATTTTTAATTACAAATATCCTTGTAAAATATATATTTTTAAATATTTCACTCTATTTAAAAGAAACATTTGCGTAAACTTTATTAATTTTTTTGTTTTTACGGTAACTTCAAAGAAATACTTTTGATCAAATTTTTTAGTAAAATACTCCACTGTGGGATGCACAAATTCTCTTTATTTTGCAAGGGATGAAACACTCCATCTTTGAAGTTTTGACGGCATAGAGCTGTGCGAGCTTGTAGGTATTTATATCCTGCATAATATAAGCAACATACATGGGTTACAGTCCAAAGGATTGTATAGAGATAATGTTTTTTTCTGTTTTTATAAAGTCACTGGACCAGAATCAGAAAAAATAAAGAAAAATTTTGTCAACCTTTTTAAGGATAACTTCAATCTAGATTTCACAATCAAATTTAAAGATTGTAAATTTTTTAGATTTTTACGTTTAATTTATCTAGTTGTTCTTTTCGACCATACAGAAAACCAGGTCACCACCTGTACATTAATGTTAATTTTAACCACCTTTCTAATATTATCAAATCCATACCAACGATGTTATCTAAACGACTTAGTAATATTTCATCCAACAAAGGCATTTTTGATAAAACTGCACCTTTTTATGATAACGCCTTGGCGTCTAATGGTTATGAAGAAACAATTTGTTATAAACCAAATCATATCGCAACAAAATCAAGATCACGTAATATTTTTTGGTTTAACCCTTTTTTTGCGCTTAACGTAAGAAAAAATGTTTGCTAAAATTTTCATAAATTTAGTTAAAAACACTTTCCGAAATCTCATAAATTTTATAAACTCTTCAACAAAATTATTTTAGTAACTTAAAAGTAAGCTACACTCTAACATCAAAAGTATTATTGCTTTTCCTAACATCAAAAGTATTATTGTTGTACACAGTAAAAAAATTTATCTGGTACTAACACCTCAACCAACCAACAATGCAAATGTTGACAAGCTTCACAATGACCTTTGGAAGGAAAATGCCTCCAAAAAAAATATAGTATACTGCTGTAATTCCTATACAAAAGCAAAGCAAATTCGACAGAGCTTTCCAAGTTTATGTGAGAAATTAAAAAAAAAGGATATACAAATCCTGATATTACATGGAAAATCATCGACAAAACGCAACCGTTTATACCCGAAGGGAAATCATGCAACCTTTGCCTAACTGAAAAGTATCACATATTAACACCAAAAATGAAATTTTTAATCAAAAGAAATGAGCTGGTATCAAAAGGTCGCCATGAAAACAAATTTTTTGTAAACAACATTAACGTCATCAAAGCGGACACTGCATAGTGTTTTTCTAATTAACTTTTTTTGTCCTTAAAATTTCAATAATAATATTCATTATAAAAAAATAAAATTTTTGGTTTTATTACTTAAAAAATAACATTTTTTAACATAAAAAGAAAAAAATTTGTTTTAAAGCCACCCTATTATATATATATATATATATATATATATATATATATATATATATATATATATATATATATATATATATATATATATATATATATATATATATATATATATATATATATATATATATATATATATATATATATATATATATATATATATATATATATATATATATATATATATATATATACATATATATATATATATATATATATATATATATATATATATATATATATATATATATATATATATATATATATATATATATATATATATATATATATATATATATATATATATATATATATATATATATATATATATATATATATATATATATATATATATATATAGAAACAAGCTTTAAAATAAAATAAAACACTAATCTGTCTTTTATTTTATTTTAAAGCTTGTTTCTCTATTAGTAGGATCATCAGGAAGAATAACTAAACATCAAAAATTTAAAATATAGAATAACTATTTCACAAATTGATAACTACCATTTTAAAAACACTTCTCTAATGTTAGTGGAAATCTTTTTGCTATTGGTGTGGATTGAATTATGTTTCTAGTTTTATTTTGCTTTTTTCGCTTTTTTTTTTTTTTTGAAGATAAACTTTTAATATAAATTTAAAAGTCTGCTTTATTACCTTAAAAACTGTTTTTAGTGGTATCGAGTGCATATTTATCTGAGAGGTTTTGGTTTTCTCCAAGATATTTCGAATTTTCTAATTTTCAGATAAAAAAAAGTATTTGTTTTTCTTTCTTTGAAATTTAATAACAATCTTTTTATTTCAAAACCAATTTGAAAAGTTGCTTTAATATATGGGTCATAATTTAATAAAATGTTTTTTTTCTTTATGTAATAGTATAAAATTTCTCTGGAAGCATTTTAGCTTTTTACATATTATCTTATCAAAATACATTTTTTTTAGTAAAAGTTGAGACAAAAAGGCTTGATTAATTTTTTTTTTTTGATCAAATTTATTAAAAGTAATTTCTTTTAAATGAAAGTAAGTAACTTGTTTTTATTTTTTTTTTGTTTTGTTTTAATGTGTATGTGGCACCTTTTTTTATCGATATGTAACGCCTATTTTATAGAATTTTTTTTTTTTTTTTTTTGTTTTTAACTTGTATTGGTTTACGTTTTCATTGATTTTTTTTTTTCTATTGTTATTATATGCAAATATATATTTTATATACCTCATCTGTTTTTTTTTTTTAGTTTTGTGCTTTAAATCTTGATGGAAAATCGTCTGTAAATTTTATGTATACACCAGGATATCAACAATCTCTAAAGGTTTGAAATATTTAACTTTTTTATGATAAGGAAATTAAAAAGTTTTTGCAAATTAAAATTCAACTTTAATTGTTTATTTATACATCATTTTTACAAAACAATAACAGTAATAATGAATGATTTATCTTTTGGGGGTTATGCAGAATGAAATTTTGTTAAAAGATAACGGGACGTTAACGCCTGACGATTTGCTGAGTTTTGCTTGGCAAGTGGCATCAGGAATGGTATTGTTTAATTGCTTTTTTGTTTATATTTTAATTACTACTTTGTTGATTCATAATTTAGTATACTTTTAGGAATTTCTTTCATGTTCTAAATTGGTTCATCGAGATCTGGCTGCAAGAAATATTTTGGTTGGATCAGGAAAAGTAGTAAAAGTATCAGACTTTGGTCTAACTCGAAAAATTAATGATGAATTAAACTACATGAGTAAAAAAAAACGTCATTTACCGGTCAAGTGGATGTCTATTGAAGCTATTTTTGACCACCTGTTTACATCATTTAGCGACGTGTAATTTATTTCAATATATTTTTTTCATGAATTCTATTTGATCATGCAAGTTATTTTAACAAAAGTCTTATGTAATCATATTTTTTTAAATGTTTTTTTAGTTAGCTTTTTGTATATTTTAGGTGGGCGTACGGTGTTGTTTTATTCGAAATTGTAACTTTGGGTAAGAATAATGAAGACTTTTCCGAAACTCAATCCAAAAATATTTTTTTAAATTTTTGCCAATTTTTTGTAGGAGGTGTACCATACCCTACTATAAGTAACCATGAACTTCTCTCTCTTTTGAAATCTGGTTATCGAATGGAAAAACCTGAAAACTGTTCTGAAAGAATGTAATTTATTTTCATTTTGTGCAATGATTTTCGAAACATTATTAATCATTTTAGATTTTATTTAATACAATTTAGGTTTGAGATTATGTTACAGTGTTGGAACGAGGATCCATTACAACGTCCTACATTTACAACACTACGTGAGTATTTTGATGATGCAATGTCTCAAGGTGGTTATTATCTTCATTTTGAATTTGACGAAAATACTGCGCCATCATTTTTGCCATTTGAGACGGATGACGATGACAATAACACAATAGAAGAAGAGGTTTTCCAAAATCCTGTGCACGTAAAGTCAATCGAGCATCTAAAGAAATTTTGTGGTGAATCCATTCTTCCTCTCGGTGAATCCATTTTTCCGTTGAACGACAGATATACAAGCATTAAAATTAATTAAAACAAGTTATTTAACGATTAAATTTTTTTTTTTTTTTGCTTTAGAAACATGCGAAAAACATTGTGAAAAATTCGTCTTTGTTTAGGTAAACTCGTTACAATACATGACATTACATTCTTTGATTTTTCAAAAAACAGAAAGCATTTTAGACGTTTATATTTACATATACAAAATTATAATTAATAGAATTTTATTTTTTATTATTATATTTTTTATTTGGAATAATTGTTTAACATATTAAATATATTTTATTATATAAGTTGATTAAACTTTGTTTGACATAAAGTTTTATTATTTAAAAAACAATGTAGAAAAATATATTAAGCGCATTTCATGTTTCTGATGCTGATAAAGACAGCGTAAATTACTTTTACCAATACTTCTTCAGGCAATAGGTTAAATAAATGAGTAAAATAGTTTTAAATAAATGAGTAAAAGAGTTGCTTTAAATTACTTTAATTTTAATAATTTTTAGCCTTTTATAGGATTTCATTATTTTTTGCAACCTTTGTTGATTTCATAATCAATATAAGTTCCATAACAGAATTTGAAGATAAATACCAAGGAGCTTAATAAAGGAATTTTCTTTAATTTCTACTCAGAATTTTCAGCAAAGTCTTTTAGCAAAAGAAATTGTTTTGTCGAGGAACAAAAAAGAATGCTAAAAATGTGTTGACAAACTCGGTTAATTTTGATGAAATAAGAATCATAAAATTACGTTATTCTTAAATTAAGAACTGACTACCTGTAATAGCTCTACCGCATTCTCCCTCCCATAACAATAACTAACATGATAATAACTTAAGTTAGAGTTACTTTTGTAATCACTTAATTTAGGGTAATCACTTAAGTTAGGGTAATTACTTAAGTTAGGGTAATCACTTAAGTTAGGATTACTTTTGTAATTACTTAATTTAAGGTAATCACTTAAGTTAGAGTAATCACTTACGTTAGGGTAATCACTTAAGTTAGGGTAATTACTTAATTTAGGGTAATCACTTAAGTTGGGGTTACTTTAGTTTTTAAATTATTATTTCTTTTCATTCGCGTTATGCTCTTTACAAAGTTTTATATGCATAATATAATTTCTTGAAGTATACAAATTGTTGGGTTGTCCAATATAATTTTGTTATTTCAAAACACCGTCATTGAAGTTTGTCCCATTCTACTAATAGAGTACAATGTAAAAATATTTTTAACAAATTTTTAATAATTTTTCTAAAGCCCCCTCAACGCCCTCAAAGACTATCCCAAAAAATTGCATGCATTTATATCAACTTTGGTTAAATAACATAACACAACACTTAGATATTGACAAAGTTTATTATCTTATAACTGTTATGATAAATTACTGCTATTTAATGCTAAATAATGTTTATTACAGTGAAATAAATTTAGAATATTAATACTGACAAAAAGCGACAAAGAATTAGAAACATAGTGCAAGTCGACATCTTTTCCAACCAGTTCATGTCAGTTTTGAGATTCTTCAAATTTGACTTCGCCTCCATCATCCACATTAAGACTTACTATTCGTGCATCTACAATTTTTTGGCTGATTGGACACCCATTACCATCAATTACTGGTTCCAAGTAGCCTGATAACCTACAAATTTTAAAAATTTTTCTTTTTTTAAAACACGATGAAGAAAATGTTTAAAACCTGTAAAAAATATCTGCTGGATGTTATGATACTTTGGAATGAGTGACAAAGTTCGTCTAAGAACAAGAATCGTGAAGGTGATCTGGGTGGAAAACGTAGCAACTTCTTGGATTGCCTTTTTGATATCTGGACAGGCAACCATGGATGGTCATGATAAAATTTTTAAGATTAAGGCTCAATTGCAAGCAGTAAAATACAATTGGAAATTGATACTAAACGATGAGGAAAAAAAAGAGTAATACACGAAAACAGACTGTTTGGAAAATTATCACACTCCATGGATAGGCGATCAGGATTTGTTATTCTTCACATACCCAAAAGAATTAAGCAATGTAAAGAAATTACATCAGCAGCCGAGAGGCTGAGACTGTCCGATAATCAAACAACTATGTTTGTTTCTGCGGTGATTAAAGCAGCTGAGGGAAACCTTTACAATGTTGATATCTCCAGATCAACATCTTGTCGTTGCAGAATGTTAAATCGATAGAAAATTGCTAAGATAGTTGTAGATAGAGTCAAATTTAACCCTCCTCAATTTGGTGCTGTTCACTGGGATGGAAAACTGTTAAAAGACATAGTAGGTGAGAAAAATGAATAGTTAGCCGTGCTTGTGTCTAGATCTCCAAAACATAGTGACAAAAAATTGCGGGGAGTTCCTGCTCTTTCTGACTCAAAAGGGAAAGCTCAAGCCAATGGGTTGGCGCTAACAAAAAAAATGATAAATTATTTTGAACGGTGAACGTCGGTGAACGGTTGAGCAATACTGCATAAAAAGCAGTGATTTCAGAATTTGCGACCATATATACCAGTCCAATCCACAACAAAGAGCATGGCTGTTGCCGGGTGAAGAAATATCCTGATTATTTTATTATATAAATTAGAGAGAAATATCCTGATTTTACACAGAGAGAAATATCCTGATTTTAACATTGAGAAAACACTTAATTTCCATTTTTTCAAGATTTATTTTATTATTTAGTTCATAGCACAGAACAATACTGAGTCAAACTGATTAATAAGTATATGACATGCAATCTGTGCATCGATTTGTTGATTTTATATCAAAATAATGACAGTAAATGAAATACATGTAAACCATGTAAAGTTTACAGAAAAACAGCAATAAAAAAGGAGAAAAATATTTTTCTTTTTTCTTTTTTTATTGTACGTCCTGAAATATGATATAAAAATAAATCAAGTTTTGCTTGCTGTTTTTTTATTCTAAATTATGTAAAGTTATAAAAAAAAGAAAAATATTTTTCTCCTTTTTTATTGCTGTTTTTCTGTAAACTATATATATATATATATATATATATATATATATATATATATATATATATATATATATATATATATATATATATATATATATATATATATATATATATATATATATATATATATATATATATATATATATACACATATATAACAATAAAATGCATTTAGAGCTGTTAGGAAACAAGTAATATAGTTATGTGTAAAAAATTGATTGTTTAATTTATACAATTTTTAGTTGATAATATTGCTAAGGTAATTATTTTAACTGTGGAAAATTAGAACAACTATATGATATACCACTTAATTTCACTCTGCAAAGTTAAGTAACCATAGCAACCAAATACAAAAAATAACTTCTATAAAAATCAAATACCTCATATTAATACACATGCCAAGTATAGTGTACGTTGTACAAATGAAAAAAAAGAAAGAAAACTCAATCTAAGAGAAACAAGTTGCTGTTATGTAAATTTAGATATCCATAGCAACAAAAGAAAAAAAAAAATTTAAAGAAGCTTAGACCTTATATTTGTACTTATGTCAAATTTAATGAATGCAGCACTAATAAAAAAAATATAAATAACCAAAAATAAAATTTTGCTATGCAAAATTAGGTACTTATGTCAACTGAATATAAAAATTACACTTTCATATAAAGCGTTGATCTCACATTGGTACTCATGCTAAATTTAGTAAATGAAGTACTAATATTAAATTAGTTATTAAATCTTAAAACTGACTATTCTGGCCCACTGGGCAACATATTGCAAGGTTTTCAAAAAACCTCATTTGCACGTAACAATATATTAATACTATTAGTCAAAGAGGCTTTAGATTAGCTAATCTTCTATGAATCTTTTATGAATCTTTCAATTCTGGAATAGTACCAACTCTCTGAAATATAGCAAATATTAGTCAAATCTATAAAAAAAAGGGAAACAAACTACTTCCTGAAAACTATCGCCCTATTTCACTTACTTTTAATAATTGAAAAAGTTGTAAAGAATAAAATCTTGAAGCACATCAATGATAACAATCTGCTCTCTACAAATCAACATGACTTCCTTAGTCTTAGAGACTTTTGATACTATTTTGTTTTCCCTAGCATCACACCAGTTGATAGATGTAATCTACCTCGAATTTGCTAAAGATTTTGATTCCGTACCTCACACCAGACTCATTTTAAAATTAAAATCATTCGGAATAAACGGCAAACTACTACAATGGATTAATTCCTTCTTAGTAGGCAGAAAGCAACGCGTTACAACTAACAATACTAGCTCTGACTGGGTTGATGTACTTAGTGGTGTTCCTCAAGGTTCTGTTCTCGGCCCGTTCCTCTTTATTCTTTTTACAAACGATCTCGCTCAACTTACAGAAACTTCTAAAGTATTTGCAGACGATACTAAACTTTTTTCTAAAACTTCATCGCAGACTAATTTTGTTGATCTGCACAACCGTCTACGCTTATTGTACGAGTGGTCAAACACTTGGTTACTTAAATTAAACATTTCAAAATGCTGTGTTATCCATTATGGTAAAACCAATCCTATATATAGCTACTTTTAAAAAATAACCAAGGTATAAATGAAAGCCTAAGAAGCTCTGTTAAAGAACGCGATTTAGAAGTTATTTTTACATCTAACCTCAAGTGGAGTACACATATTCAATCAGTTGTCTCCAAATCTTTACAAATTCGTGGTATGCTAAAAAGGACATTCACCATTGTTGATGAAAAAATGGCTCTTAAATTATATAAAGTGTTTATAAGACCACACATGGAACATACATTGTCTCTTTGGACCCCGTATTAAAAAACTGACGTAGCTTTGGTTGAATCTGTTCAACGTAAAGCAACAAAATGGGGTATAAACTTGAGAAATCTTCAATACTATAAAAGACTTAAAAGACTAAACTTACTATGACTCGAGTTTCGGCGCCTTCGATGCAATCTAATACAAATTTTTAAACTAATACATCGATTTGATATATTTAATAATATATATGAACCAAAATTTATTACCTCATTGCCACGCTGTCACCATCTTATAATAAGACGTGAATATGTTCCAAACTGTCTTTCAAGACACAACCAATTATATAAGAGATCAGCAAAATACTGGAATGAACTACCCGAGTAAGTAACTTTAAAGTCCACTGTACTTTCTTTTAAAATTATATTAGGTAACTGGTTGAGGATAAAATTCGGAACGAATATTTATAAAACTGTTTGTTTATAGTAGGGTGTTTTCCTGCTCG